GGGCAGGTACCCCATTTGTTTCAGAGGTCTGACTCTTCCTGGGGTCCCAAGTCAAGTCTTCCCAGTCCCAGGGCTATCTCTTCGCTGCCCCCGCTTCTGCCTGGACCCCTTCCTGGCCCCATTGGCTTCAGCTCCCAAGATCCCAAGGATCTTGATAATCCTTTAGCCAAAGTTCTTTGACTATTTTAAATTAAAATGGGTGAGCCATGTCTCCTTTTGACCCCGGGGTCAGATTCTCTGCTCTTAGCATTGCTACTTGGTCCTCAAGGTCTGAGGAGCTGCCTGGGAATCCTTTTGGCCTTCGGTCCCCCTCCTGCCAGTGCTGGAGGCAGGGCAGGGTCCCCGGAGCTGGTGACGTCAGCTTCTCCAGGCGATCTGCCCGACTTCTCCCTCCCGGCATATCTACAGTGCGAAGAGTCCAGCTTCCCGACCTCCTGCTGCCCCTGCGCACAGGGTAGTTGGTGGGCCGGTGGGTCAGTGAGAGGAGAGTGCGCTCCCAAAGTCCCTGGCTGTTAGAGTCTCCAATTTCAGATTTCACCACAGCAGCAGTGCTCCTGGCACCTCCCCTACCCCCTCCCCCACCAGGAGCCCCGGCCAGCTACTTTCCATTGCAGGAAACATCTGCTGGGGAGGCCAGGCTAGGCCGGGGGGTTACTGGAGGACGTTGGCCAGTACCGTCACCCAGATCCTGTAACTTGAAGCATGTGGAGGGCTCTGGCCCTGCCCTCCCACCCACCCTGCCTCCCTCCTGCCACGGGCGGGCGACTCTAACAAAGAAGTTGTTTGCTGGGCAGCTAAGCAGAGCACGGTCTGGGAGGAAAGGGGTGTGTGTAGGGGTGGGGGTGAGAGCAGGCCTTGTTGCCACAGCCAGTGGTGGCCGCTCTGCCTGGGAGAGGGCCGTGAGTCATAGGGACCGGCGCCCGCCCAGGGAAGAGATTGCACGGTGAACAGCCCGCCTTATGGGACAGGCCAGACAGAGCTGGGAAACTGGGAGTTCATTCTCTCCTGGGAGTTTCTGACCAACTATGAGCTGTGTGTGAGTAACCGGCGGGGTGCACCTGTGCACCTGGCTGTGGAGTCATCCTCTTCCTGTGCAGTCTGTCTGTCCTCCAGGAGCCTGCTTGTTCAGAGCCCTCAGCTGGCCCTGTGCACCTGCCGTGTGTCTGCGTCGTCTGGCCCCTGCCTGCCTCTTGAAGTGGCTGTCCGCATTGACTAGAGGAGGGGCTTCCCCACATCCCCTCTGGGTCACCCTCAGCCCAACAACCGGCCACACTGTGGGAGCCAAAGTGGGACAAAGCAAAACCTGGCCATGGGAGACTGGCTGGCCAGCCTGTCCCAGGAACCATGCGGACTACACCCTCCCACTCGTGAGGTTCCGTGCTGAGAGCAGAGCTCTAGGAGGGAAAAGGAGGCCGGGCAGGGTCACGAAGGCTCTCTGCCAAGCCACCAGAGGTTGCCCATCTGTGTCCAGCCCAGACAAGACGGACTGTTTTCATCCTGAGGGAATCAGAGCTCAAGGAGCGGGGCTCCACTGGGAGGCAGAGCCGTGGGGAGCAATGGAATCTCTGACGGAGTCTGGGGTCCTCTGGAGCCTCCTGCTGGAGCAGGATAGCCAGCCTTTGCAGTGGTACCTGAAGAAGTTTCCAGATACGCCTGCTGGTGCAGAGCTCTGCTTTGGGCACGGATCTGAGGAAATCCCAGCCGTGAGTGTGCCTCCCAGCCCCTCCGGGCCTGAGTGACATTCCGCTGGGCCTTTGTAATTCGTCACTTGGCCCCAGATCACCCAAGGGCCCTAGATCTTGATAATCCTTGAGCCAAAGTTCTTTGACGATTTTAAATTAAAATAGGTGAGCCATGGCTCACTTTGGAGAAGATTGCTTTAAGAGTGGGCTGGGGGGGTGGCGGGGAGCAGAGGGTCAGGTCTCTTGTGTCACAAGGATCTGTGGTGGCAGGTCGTCCTACCGTGTATTTACTTAGAGTCTAGGAGGCAAAGGCGGCCGCCATCCACACCGGCAGCCAGCCAGGAAGAAATCGGAGCATTTGTATGCAAGACCAAGTTGAGGAGTCCCTACACCCAAGCCACTTGTTGTAGAACTGGCCGAGGTCAGAGGTCAAGGCGGGATTTGCCCTCCCCCTCCCTACAGCTGCAGCTTTGTTCCGAGGAGAGGGGAGGAGTGGCTCCCTCCCTTTGCCAGAGGTTTGGTGTGGAGATTATGGCCAGACACCGTGCACTGTGCACCTCTGTAAAATGCCCGAGTTCCCAGTGGATGTGAGGGAAATCCGGGTGAGGGAGCACTGTGGAAAGCCCATTAGGAATAGGAACACTTCTGGGCTTCAGGTAACTGGATGCCTGATGCCCGCTTTCACCTGCAGGGGGTTCGGGGCCATCTGGTAGGCTGGTCCTCAGGCTGATAACTGGGTTGTGGTAATGAAGACCTGCTTGATCGTTGCATTCATTTAAAAACAATTAATCGTGGTAAGGAACATAAAATGTTCCATCTTAAGTATTTCTCAGTTCAGTAGCATTAAGTGCATTCACGCTGTGCTGCCACAAATTTCCAGAACTTCTTCCCCTTGAAAAACTGAAACTTTACTACCACACCCCTGGACAAAAAGACCCACTCGTGGGCCTGAAAGGCTAGCGGGGGCCCCAAAGCAGGTGAACATTTCATCCGCAAGAGAGCGTGCTCTGCTGGGGCATCCTGTCGTTTCCTTCTTGGCACCGAGATCCTGAGACAACATGGAGCCGTGACTCCGACCAGGGGCTCTGGTTCGGACCACCTTGGTTCGTGCTCTCCTCTCCCACTTGGTAACCACATACTTTGGACAAGTTGCTTAACCTCTCTGTGCCTCAGCTTCCTAGTGTGTAAAATGGAATAATGAAAACAATCTGTGGCCAAATGAAATGATGTATATGAAGGGCTAATAATGACAATGCTTGGTACATGGTAATAACTCATTTTGTATTAGCCTAACTATAGCTCTAGAAGGGGCGCCTGGGTGGCTCAGTCGGTGAAGCATCTGACTCAGTTTTTGGTTCAAGCCCTGCGCCCGGCCCCGCACTGACAGCTGGAGCCTGATGGGGATTCTCTCTTTCCCTCTCTCTCTCTCTCTCTCTCTCTCTCTCTCTCTCTCTGCCCCTCCCACACTCATGCATGAGCTTGTGCGTTCTCTCTCTCAAAGTAGATGAATACACTGAAAAAAAAAAAAAAAGAAGGTCAGACATAATTAGGAACTTACTGATGATCAGGTGGTCAAGCAGGGGTTTTCATTGTGCAGGCTCTGTTCTGCAAGGCCAGGCAGCCAGTTAGATTGGATATCTCAGTATTGGTTTGGAGCTATCATATAGGCCAGAGGAGTGTTATATTGGGAGGTCTTTGCTAGCCACGGGAGAGGTTGGCTTCTAGACACTCACTCCCAATGGCCCTGATACTTGGTTCAAACACACGGCAGGTGTTTTTTGCAGTTTGGGCTTCTGCAGCATAGCATTGCCTGGGGGGAGGGAGGTAGCACAGCATCCACTGGAAATCTCTTCCAGAAATCCTCCCCAAACTGAAGTCCTGTCATTACGTCTCCTTCAACTTCCTGTGATATTCCTCTTCCCTCTGGCACAAAAGCCATTGAGCCACTTAGCTCAGGTAGTCAACTGCAGGCTCTGAATGTGGTCGGGCCACAGCCTGAGTTTGCTCACAGGCCAGCGAGCTTCACAGAAAGTCAAAAACGAACAGTCTAAGGTGCATTTCATTGCAATTCATTGCACCCAGCTGTATGTCAGTGGATTCCCAGGGAAGTGGCTGAGAGCGTGTAAATGGCCAAGATCTATCTGTCGCCATCATCAGGACAATCTGTGTGCACCCGTGCACTCCTGGCATAAGTAGGTCAGTGAACCTCCTGGGTGGAGTACACATGTTTCTCTGTCGCAATGCATGGCTCTTCCTGGGTTGTGCACCTGTCTTCTTGTATCATCCTCGGGTACCTTTTTTTTTTTTTTTTAATTTTTCATTTTAATCTTAAGATTGTAAGTTTGGAAAGATCAGGATTCCTGTCTGTTCAACTGGCTGATGGAATTTCCATGGAGGATTTGCTAAGGTAGTTTATGGGTATGAGTCTGCACGGAGGCACCCAAAAAGCTAGGTGGGCACAGGGTCACCTGGTGGCACCAGTGATGGGAGGTGAGCTCAGGACCAGGAATCCAGAAAGCTGCCCCTGACCAGCTGGAGAAACCTTGGGGAGGGGTCTCCTCTCTGGCCTTTGTTTCCTCATCAGTAATGGAAGTGTTGGAGTGGAGAGTCTTGTAAAGGGTGGGGAGGGAATGAAGGCTGCGTGCCTCTAGTTGCCAGGTGTGCTTTTAAATTCTCTACCTGTGTGCTTCCCCTAGTACTAGCTTCACGGGTTTTTTAAAATCCAGTCTTGGTAAAGTGCAGGTCTTCTCCCTGCCCCGTTTTCCTGAGATATAATTGAGATGTCACATTGATATAGTCCTCCGTTTTGATTTCTTTTTTTTTCTTGTTGTGAATTTCACACACGGCCAAGTACTTACTGTATTAGTCATGATAACCACTTCGGAGGGATGCACTGAGTACCGTCATATTCTGGGTCCTCCCGGGGGGCTGAGGGAGCCCTTCTGGGCCCCTGTTTCACTGTCAAGGTGGTACTTCCTGGTGGCAGAAGGCAGGACAGCAATAGCTCTCATGGTGGGTCCCAGGAAGCTCCCTGGACGTGTCCCTCCTTCTTTTCTCTTCTTGGGATGTAATGTGGGCCCTGCTTCGTCTGTTTGACGTTCTTGCGTCGATGGCCACTTTTTCGGTGGCAGATTCTCTCCGCGGTGTTTTTCCATAATACCGAAGCTCCCTTTGCCTAACCTGGCCGCTTAGGGTCTGTGGGATAACAGGGCCTCATCTTTGCCTTTTAAACACGTAAGCAGGTGCTTTTCCTGCATCTGCCTCCCCAGCCCCACAGAACCTGGAAGCATCCTGCTAACCTTGGCCATTGTCGTGCAGGTATTAAGCCCAACTTACAAGCAGAGAAATGAAGACTTCAGAAAGCTCTTTAAGCAACTTCCAGACACGGAGCGCCTCATTGTTGGTGAGCTGGGAGACCTGGGGATGGAGGGCAGGGGGCAAGAAGGAAGTCTGGGATCCCAAGGACAGCGCTCAGGCTGCTTCTGTCTTGAGGTTGCCCACATAAAAGCCAGCCCAAGCGAGAACATCTGTCCGGGAGCAGGGAGAGAAGATGTCCAGAGCGCCGACCCCGGTGGTTGTGGCTCAGGGCTAAGTACCATGTGTGTGGTGGCCTTGACAGAAAGCCCAACCTAGAAGGAGTCTCTGCCATTCTTAACCTCTGTAGATGGCCCAGCGGTGAAAGGTTGGGGTAACTGTGTAGGGGAGGGGTATTCCTTGACTTAAAAAAAAAATTTTTTTTGTAGTGTTTATTTTGAGAGAGAGAGAGCACGAGCAGGGGAGGGGCAGAGCAAGAGAATCCCAAGAAGGCTCCATGCTGTCAGTGCAGAGCCCCACGCAGAGCTCAGTCTCATAAAGCGTGAGGTTATGACCTGAGCTGAAATCAAGAGTCGGACGCTTAACCGACTGAGCCACCCAGGCACCCCGTGGCCTTTTCTACCTCCGACGTCTTTGCCCCGCCTCTGCCATCTCATCCATTCCTCTGCCTCCAGGCGGAAGCACGGTGATTTTTCAAATCACATGAGACACCAGGGACTCCCTTGGCCACTAGTTCAAGGGTCTCACCCACCTAGTGAGCCTAGTGAGTGGGAGGCAGTTGGGCTCCCCCAGTGCTGGTGGAGGGCGGGCATGCTTAACTTGTAGTGCTTCGCTGAAGATGCGTCCCGTCTCTGAGCTCTCTGCCCCCCATCCTACCACAGATTACTCATGTGCACTCCAAAGAGACATTCTTCTTCAGGGCCGACTCTACCTCTCTGAAAATTGGATCTGCTTCTACAGCAACATCTTCCGCTGGGAAACTCTGGTAAAGACCTGGGGCTTGCCTCCGGGGTTGTCCCCTTGGCTGTGACTGAACAAGCTGCCCCCACCTGCCCCTTTTTGTTGACTTCATGCTCCACCCACACCTTTGCACAATTCCTAAATGTACAGGCCGAGTCTTGAGGGATAGACCTCCTCTACCACGTCTTCCCCTCCCTCCCTCCCTCCCTCCTGGGTGAGGAAGAGAGTGTGGGAGCATTTGCTTTCGGCAAATGCAGTTAAGTATTCTGCAAGGCGTAGGATAGTTGAGTAAAAGGAACATTGGCCTCAGAACTGGCTTGTACGTTATCTGCGTTCTCCACCTAGTGAGCTGTGTGCTACTAGCTTTGCTCTTTCTCTATTTCCTTATCTTAGGAGATAAAGTGGGAAGGGTAAACTGGGTGACTTTTATGGTTGCATCCAGTGCCGGTGTTCTGTGTTTCTGTAAGTGGCAAGTAGCACGGGGCCTCTGCACGTTAATCGGACTGTGTAGACTTGAGAAAGAAGGCTCCCTGCACCAGGAGCTGAGGCACCCTTGGGCTCTAGGCGAGGCTCAGCCACCACGTCGCCCTGTGGCCTCCGTGAAGTAGGGGGCTAAACCAGATGATCTCTGAGGAGGTCCCTTCTAGGTTTAGAAATACGTAGACTGACACGTGATCTCCCCTCTCTGAACTGGGGCCGTGCGAATGCTCACTGCCGACTCAGTTAATGTCTTCTCTCCTTATCCACCCTCCCTTCCCTGTGGGGTGCCAGCTGACTGTCCGTTTGAAAGACATCTGCTCCATGACTAAAGAAAAAACAGCTCGCCTCATTCCCAACGCCATCCAAGTTTGCACTGACTCAGAAAAGGTAAGTGGAGTCCGACCTTGGACTTTCTGCTCCCCGCTGCCCCTGTCCCCAAGCCTCGCACTTCTGTCCCTCAGTTGCATGAATATGGAAGCCAGTAGGATGGCAGCGACGGATGGTCAGGTGATGCCGATCGTGGGGGTCGCCTCCACTGGGTCAGGGTGTTTGGATTCTGAGCAGGGGTGAAGATGGAATGGCTGAACGTTGCACTTGGAGCCGGAACACTTAAATTTGAGTCCCGTAACCGTAGGTGTGTTCCATTGCCTCTCTCAACCTAAGTTTTCCCATGTATAAAATGGAGCCAGCCATTCCTATAACACTCTTGAAATGACATCACATATTTGGAAACACTAAATCGTGAAGCGTTGTACACATGTAAGATGTTATTATATATCCGTGTAGAGCTCATCAAAAGGGATGAGAGTCAGGGGCGCTTGGGTGGCTCAGTCGGTTGAGCGTCCCACTTCTGCTCAGGTCACGATCTCGCCGTGGCGAGTTCGAGCCCCGCGTCGGGCTCTGTGCTGACAGCTCGGAGCCTGGAGCCTGCTTCGGATTCTGTGTCTCCCTCTCTGTCTGCCCCTCCCCTGCTCATGCTGTGTCTCTGTCTGTCTCAAAAATAAATATAAACATAAAAAAAAAAAATATTTAAAAAAATAAATAAAAAAGGGATGAGAGTCTGGTAGGAAATGGATTCGGCACATCAGGATGGGGAAAATGTGGTCGGTAACATTTAGGGCAGAGAAAACACTGTGATCTTTGATCTTTAACCAGAGCCTGAAGACTGATCGCTTCAGGGCTAGGGGTGGACCAGGCTTCTGCTGAACACAGGTCCGCCATGCCCTTGGACTGAGGCAGTTCAGTGGCAACAACCATGAGACTTTGGGGTCAGATGGTGTTTGGTTTGAATTCTGTTTTTTCTCATGAATCAGCTTTGTGATTACAGACGTCACCTGATCCCCACCAGCCTGTTTATTAGGTATTAGCAGTTACGTTTATTTTCCAAGGCTTTTGTGTGATTAAAATGAAGCAGCAGCATTTGGGAAGCACCTGGATCGTGTTCAGTACCATCTGGTTTCCCATCATTTCCCTCCCGCACGTTATACAGGGTCCCCACTAATGTGTAAGCACAAAGAGCAGGAGTCCCTCCCTGTCCTGATTGCTGTTGTATCCCAAATGTGTAAAATCGTACCCAGCACGTACCACATTCAGTTATTTGTTGACTTAATATTGAAAGGGTGAGTGGGTTAGTGGGTTTGTCTTCTCAAGGGCCAGTTCACAGCTCACCACTTAATAACCCAGTTCTAGCCGGTAGTTGAAAGAAGCTTCTTTGGAGGTGGAAAGAAAAAGAAGCTTTTATGGAGGTGAAAACCTCCACCCAGAGAGAGAAGCACTTAGCATTTAGCATTTAACATGGGTGAATGAAGGACTTGGTGACAGTGAGGACTTAGGGGGTCCCAGGTACACAGACCCCGAGGATTCATCCCCATCGCGAGAGTGCCCTGGTGTCATGGTCACAGATAACTGTAGCATTTGGGGATGAATTCAGCAGCTTCTTTGTTTATTTTTGTTCTATTTTAATTAATTAATTTTAATGTTTGTTTTTGAGAGAGACAGATAGAGTGTGAATGGGGGAGGGGCAGAGAGAGAGAGAGGGAGACACAGAATCTGAAACACCCTCCAGCTTTGAGCTGTCAGCACAGAGCCTGACGCGGGGCTTGAACTCAGCAACCATCAGATCGTGACCTGAGCTGAACGGTCGGACACTTGACCGACTAAGCCACCCAGGTGCCCCAGCAGCTTCTTTTTTTTTTTTTTTTTTTTTTTTTTTAAAGGATGAAGCGCCCTGTCTCCTCCATTCATTATATCCTGAGTCTTACCAGATATTTCTTGCTGTTTTCCCCAAATCTAGCACTTTTTCACTTCATTTGGAGCCCGGGATAGGACGTACATGATGATGTTCCGGCTCTGGCAGAACGCACTCCTCGAAAAGGTAAGTGCCGCCCAACTCCTTCCTTCAGCCTCAGCATGCATGCACATCCGTCTGGAATGCTCTTTCCCCCGAGGTGGGGGCCCCACCGAGAGATTGCTCTTACTGGGACATTGGCTTGCTCCAAAGCCGCCCACGTGGTTCGGGAAAGCCCCCCAGACTCGGGGTGAGTTACGTCTTCTCCCACACGTGGTGCTGTGTGAGCAGCCTCGTCGCTGTCTGCACCGAGGCCTTCCTGGACCTCAGACACTTCAGTCCCACTGTTGTAAAATGTGCCAGCATTTGTTTTAGTCAGGAATGGTGAGACACACAGAGGTGGAGGTGACTGTTAGGAAAGGATCAGTTTTCAGGCTTACGGGTGCCTAGAGGCAGAGGTGCATCCCACCATGCAGAAACACACGGGGAAGTGCCAGCCGGCGTCAGCCAGGAGGCAGAGAGAGCAAGGGGGAAAGCATGCCAGAGCTTTTATTGTGATTTTTTTTTTGCAGGAAGCAATAGGTGAGGCAGGGTAAGCAGGCGGACAGGTTGAGGATCAGCTACTTTGAATAATTCCATCTGGCTTCAGGGCACAGAGACTGTCTCTGGGTGCCTGGTACCTGTCCCTGGGGTACGTAAAGCTGCATACTAGGGACCTGGACTGTAAGAGCTGGAAAAGAAGGTGGTATCCACCTCGGATTGGTCAGTCGCGTGTGAAAGATGCACTTCAGGCACGTGATTTTCTATTTCCAGGAATTACCTAAGCCCAGGAGGGGCAGTCCCTCCCCAGTGAGCAAGGCCTCAGATCCCGGAGCATCAAAAATACAGAAAATAGGGGGCGTCTGGGTGGCTCAGTGGGTTAAGCGGCCGACTTCGGCTCAGGTCATGATCTCGCGGTCCGTGAGTTCGAGCCCTGCGTCGGGCTCTGTGCTGACAGCTCGGAGCCTTGAGCCTGTTTCAGATTCTCTGTCTCCCTTTCTCTCTGACCCTCCTCCATTCATGCTCTCTCTCTGTCTCAAAAATAAATAAACGTTAAAAAAATAAATAAATAAAATAAATAAGTAAATAAATAAACGTTAAAAAAAATACAGAAAATAGGGAAATAGAGTTAATACAGCCACAAGTTTGACTGCTTGAGTGTCTGAAGGACACTGAGGGGACACAGATAAATGTGATATCATGGCCACATTCCTTAGAAAGCTCACACTCAGGTGTCAGGGTGGAGGGTGTGTTGATAAATAGCCCCCAAGCCAGGAAAGAGACATAGGAAGAAGTTACATGGTTATAATTAGTTATTATATATATGACATGTATGTTATCTACCCTGATTCTATCCTGAACAATCTGAAGTAAACTGGGTAGATTTATTATTTAGAATTTCATGGGGCGCTTGGGTGGCTCAGTCGGTTAAGTGTCCGACTTCAACTCAGGTCACGATCTCGTGATCCATGAGTTCGAGCCCTGCGTCAGGTTCTGGGCTGACGGCTCAGAGCCTGGAGCCTGCTTCAGATTCTGTGTCTCCCTCTCTCTCTGCCCCTCCCCCGTTCATGCTCTGTCTCTCTCTGTCTCAAAAATAAAATAAACATTAAAAAAAAACAAATTAGAATTTCTTCTAACCTGAAGATCTACAGCTCTGGCATAAATCTAGGTAACTTATTTGAGCTGAGATCTTCTGCCTTAAGTAGCTATCAACAATAGTAACATGATAATGTGTTTTAATGTCCACTGGCCTGTTGGATCTTCAGTTCACAACCACTGTCATTGCTGGATAAGACAGAGGGACGTCCATACGGTTCACAGGAACTCTCACAAAATAGATGTGTGCCGATTGTCGTTGACCTGGTTGTGGTCAATCAAGCCAAGCCAAATGGAATGGTCAGGGAAGGGTGTATGGAGAAGGGGAGAACATAGAATGGCAAAGGTGTCCCAGGTGGGATGAATGCTATACATAAGGGCCAAAGATAGGAGGCAGGCGGTCCAGATAAAGGAAAAGGAGATGTCTCCCTCTGGCTCTGTGAGGGCCAGCACCCGCCAGCTCAGGGAGAGCCCTGACTATGCTATTCTAGGCATTTCTCCTTAGGTGGAAACCCAGAACCCTGGCTCATGGCAATCTGCCAGCACCTGCTGCTTTTTTTTTTTTTTTTTTCCCTTAATTTTTAATTTTATTTGGGGGGGGGGTGGCAGAGACAGGGGGAGAGAGAATTTCAAGTGGGCTCTGTGCTGATAGCACAGCGCCCGATGTGGGACTTGATCCCATGACCCTGGGATCATGACCTGAGCCAAAATCAAGAGTCAGACGCTCAACCAACAGAACCACCCAGGCGCCCCAGCACCTGCTTCGTAAACCATAACCTTGAAAGGATGGACTCGGAGAATTCTCAGATTCTTCATCGCATCTATTGATGGGAAACATTCTTTATGTTTCACTTAAAAATCTATCTTGGTATTTTGACTGTTTCTCTTTTTCTTAATTCTCTTGCTGTCTTTTTCACATACTTCCCTTACCACCTGCTCCCCCTCCTTCCAGTTTAAGACTCATTCATGGTCTATCCAGTCTTAGTTCTTCCACGTTCTGTTGCCTCTTTCCCAAAAATCTGAACCCCATGCAAGCTCACTTTTCTGAGGACAGTACTTTTGAGGAGGACCTGTAGACACCCAGTGAAATAAGAAACTAGAACTAATACATAGAACTGTAGGCAAACTGATTCTGTGTGACAATAAAGAAGGAAGTGTTCAGGTAGCCAAGAGAGGGTTGGATGTGATGACCTTTGAGGTCCCTTGAACTATGAGAATATAGACTTCTTTCCAACCACAAGAACTGTCCAACTATGGAATGGGTCTCTGAGGTCACACCTCATTCTTGAACATGAGGCAGTAGGGCCTACGTGGCCAGCATTAGTATAAAGAGATATCTGAGGTGTTGGGACCGAGTCCGGACTCAAGGGACCGAGTCCGAATCAGACGCTCTGTGATCAGCTTGGCCCCAGAGTAACACTGGCTTATGATGCCTAATGCTCGACCTCATCCATAGGAGCAAAAGATGGATAGTTACCGTCCTTAAGGGGCCAGTTGATTCCATTATGCAAACCTGAGTTGTGGGGACAGGTCAAGTTCCTGGCTCTACTGAAGCCATATTTTTGGCAGAAGATAGGTATCTGACGATGGGCTTGGAAAAGGGAAGAAGAGGTGGAGGAAGCTGTCACAGAGGCGTTACTCTCCTCTTCGTCCAGCAAAGGAGCATGGAGGCCAGCTTCTCCTTCCCTCAAGGGAGTCCAGCTCAACTCAGTGCCTCCATGTAGAGTGGGGTCCTGAGGAAGGAAGGGTCACAGTCACTCTGTTGTCTCCTGCAGCCCCTCTGTCCCAAGGAGCTCTGGCACTTTGTTCACCAGTGCTATGGGAATGAATTGGGCCTTACCAGTGACGACGAGGACTACGTGCCCCCCGATGACGACTTCAACACTATGGGGTGAGAAGGCAGAGGGCAGCTTCTCCAAGAGGGACTGGGATGGTGGGGACAGCCTTCCCGGGGAGTGATGTCTAAGTGAGGCCCTGATGGAAGTGAGGGGGTCAACCATGAGCTTACCTGTGGGAGACTTTCCCAGGCAGAGAGAAAAGCAAGCGGGTGGGTGGAATGGACAAAGCACAAGCGGGAAGAGGTGAGGCCAAGGGCCAGATTCTAAAGGCCTTTTGGCCAACTTGATGATTGGCTCTCACTCAGAGTGGGACGGGAAGTCCTGGGAAGGCTTTGAGTAGGTAATTGATAACTGACTTAACATTTTAATAGCATCACTCTGGCTCCTGGGTTGAAAATAGATCAGTGAGGAGCAAGAGCAGACAGGCTAAGAGGCTTGAATAATTTAGATCATTTAGATGAGAGGTGAAGGTGGTTTGGACCAGGAGGGTAGCAGTAAAAATGGCAGCAAGTGGTTAGTTTCTGAATATATTTTTGAAAGTAGAACCGGATACATTTTGAAGGATTTGCTGACAGATTGGAAAGGAACCAAAAATGGCTTTAAGGTTTTCTTGGATTTACCAACTGGAAGACTAGAGAAGTTCCAAACCGAGATGGACAATACTATAGACCAGATTTGGGGGAGAAGATCAGGCAGGTTGGGTCTCAGAGGACTGTTAGCCAGGTGGAGATGTCACATAGACATTTGTGTTTGTGAGTGTGGAGTTCACGAGGGAAGTCTGGGCGAGGGACGTAAATTAGGGAATTATGAGTGGATAGCCGTGAGATTGGCTGAAGCCACCAAGTGGCTGAATGAACATGAGAAAAGAAGTTCAGGGACTCAGCTTGGGGACACTCAACAAGAAGGAGAAGCAACAAGAGAAATCCTAGAAGAACAGCCAGCCAGGCAGGAGGAAGACTGGGAGACCTGGCATCCTAGAGGCCAAGGGAAGGAGGCTTTAGGGAGAAGGCAGCATCGTTGTATCTCATGCTGTCGATGGATTGAGAAAGATGGGAATGTGGGTAGGTGGGGGCCCAGTGGTGGTGTGTGAGGCACCGAGCAGCAGAAGGCCAGAAAAGAGCACCGAACGTGTCGAAGGTAGACCTGGGCTCAGGTAGGATTTCCGACATTTAGTGGTAGTTATCACTTAATCTCTGTGAACATCTGTCTATTTGATTATCTTTAGGAGGCACGTAATAGATTACTCAAGAGCTGTCATGCATCCAGATGGGGCGATAGGTAAAGTTTAAGATGTTGGTGACGGTGATGATTGCTCCCTTGGGAAAGGCTACAGTGACGTCCCTGAAGTGTCCCTACAAGGACACCCACCTCTACCTCAAGGAGGGTTTCCCTTCAGGCGTCCAAGGCAAAGAAGTTCACTAGTTAGGATACAGAATCTGGACATTATCAACAAAAGGCCCTCGTGTCCGGGGTCTCATCCTCATCACTGTGTGGGAAATAAAATGTGTGTTCAGAGACCGGTTATTTCATTCAAAGGGTCAGGTTGGGATGAGATGGGATGCCAGTGGGCGAAAGATAGTTTAAGACACATAATGGTCGTATTTAGGAATGGTTAAATCTAAGAAAAGGTGACTTTGGAGCCAGACATTGTACATGGGGCTGGGGGTGCAGGGTGGGGAGAAGGCGCCAGGAGAACAGTGTAGCAGGGGGGTGGTGTTTTGAGGAAGATCATTCACAAAGCAAAGAAGCAAGAAAGCCGATAGTTTGGGATGGGGTGGACAGATCTGGGGCTCTTAGAATAGTTGGTGGTCTTGGCAACAAGGTTAACAAGAATGTATGGTGTCCTCTCTCAGCTACTGTGAGGAGATCCCCGTGGAAGAGAATGAAGTGAATGACAGCTCGTCGAAAAGCAGCATCGAGACCAAGCCAGATGCCAGTCCTCAGCTACCCAAGAAATCCATCACCAACAGCACGCTGACATCCACAGGGAGCAGCGAAGCCCCCGTGTCGGTATGGGCAGTAAGACCTTTCTTCCTCCCCCAATCCAGTGGCCAGTGTTTCCCAGCTGAGCTAACTTCACAGGACCCCAGCCTGGGGAGTGGGCAGAAGGGAGGTTGGTTACCCTGTGGTCAGTTTATTCACGGAGGCATCCTAGAGCCGGTGGGCTCTCTGTTCTAACAGCATAGTCCCAGGATCCAGAGCCGGGTTCTCGGTGCCTTGAATATAAGATTTTGTTTGCTTTCTGAGTGGATAAAAACCATTCCAAGTTCACTGATGTGGGCTTCACTCCCGGTGGAGTGTTCCAGATCAGCCCCTCTGTGGAGAATTATCCCAGGTTTTGTGTGTGTGTGTGTATGTGTGTGTGTGTGTGTGTGTGTGTGTGTGTGTTTACTGCCTTGATCTGAGGTCAAAATCATGTATGAATCTGGGACTATATACCTCTTTCCTTTTCATTCAATAATTAGTTTTTGAGTTCCTAGTGTATATACACTCCGATTTAATTTTCTCTTTGTGAAAGAGAGAAAAATGTGTTCAGAAGAAAGACCTTTATTCTCTGAGACTTGGTTACAGAGGGGATGGAAACCTGATGAAGGAAGTGTCAGGTGGCTGGCAGGTAGAAGAATGGGTGGGGTTTCTTGGAAAGGATTCCCTGAGAGGGGGGCCTCCTGTTCCACTGGCGTAGGGGTCAGGCAGACCACCTGGCCTTGGAATGAAAACGTTATTCGTTTGGTGCCGAATCTCCATTTTCTGTCTCTGAGGTTATCTCAAAAACGGAAAGACCTGTATCTCTTTCCTTCCAAGGCTAAGGGGAGAATAAATTTAAAAACGCCGATGAAGCTTTTGAGCTTCTGAGCAGACGGGTCATAGCCAGAGGCTGGCTGACGTGTTGTCACCTGGCTCCAGGGACAGAGCTGTGCCTGAAGGCACTAACTCTGCTCACTGCTGGGGCTTGGTGTGCTCTTTCATGGTGAGCAAGACAAGGGCAGAACCTTCTTCTGTGTTCTCCCATCTTCCACGGTGGAGCTGGGGAAAACCCCTGGAGTGTGACTCCAGCCCAGCTCCTGAGCAGCTGTGTTGTGAACGTGAGCGCTCCCCAGACTGGGGAAATCTCCCTTTGGAGACCCCCCAGCAGGTTGCCCCTGTCGGGTGACGGCTTCGTCCCCACTCTAGTTTGATGGCTTGCCCCTGGAGGAGGAGGTGCTGGATGGCGATGGGTCCCTGGAGAAGGAGCTTGCCATTGACAACATCATCGGGGAGAAGATGGAGATCATCGCACCCGTGACCTCCCCTTCGCTGGACTTCAATGACAACGAGGACATCCCCACCGAGCTCAGTGACTCTTCCGACACCCATGATGAAGGTGGGCATTGGAAAATGGGTGTGCAGTGTGGCCCTTCCTCTCTCCATTTTGAAGGCTAATGGGATGTCGTGTAGGAAGGCTGGAGTCCGTGTCTGGGCTTCCAGTGGAAGGGCGGGTGGGTAACAGAGCCTTTTTTTTTTTTTTTTTTTTTTTTTTAATTTCATTTGTTATTAACATACATTTTTCAGGGTAGTCACTGCAGGATCCATGTTATGCCATATTTGTCTTTCTTCACTCAATGGATAATGCTTTGTCATGCCATCCCGTCTTGTCACTAAGTGTACCCCCCGTTGCCTTGTTCGTTGCCCATAGAGATGCGATGCAGGGCAGTGTATATGCCACAGCAAAGTGCCAGTCAGCTGCTTCCTGGAAATAATCAGATTTTTTTTTTTTAATGTTTGTTTATTTTTGAGCGAGACAGAACATGAGCGGGGGAGGGCAGAGAGAAAGGGAGACACAGAATCCGAAGCAGGCTCCAGGCTCCGAGCTGTCGGCATAGCCCCCGATGCGGTGCTCGACCTCGAACTCACAAACCATGAGATCGTGACCTGAGCTGAAGTCGGACGCTTAACCGACTGAGCCACCCAGGTGCCCCTGGAAATAATCAGATTTTATTAGAACCTTGCTTTAGTGACTCCAGCATTGGGCTTTCAGACCAGGCTACAAGGAAAGGTATTGCTGGGTCACTCGGACTCCAGAGTCTGCCTTTCTCTCCAGTACTTCTAGGTAGTATTTCTTACCTCATTCCTGCACAGGGTTAGCTTCTAGGACCTAGCTTGGGAATGTTTTGCTTCTGACATTCCAGGGCTAGAAGCCAAATTGTCAGTCTTCATGAAATTGGCTGATCCACTGAACTGGTGGTAGGCTTGACTAGTAAGTGTATGTGGACGGTGCTCATCTGAACATCTGTGGACAGTCCCTCCTGTGGTCACCCCGAGTGTCTTTCTCTCCCCTGCCTGGTTTCCCTACTCCATCTAGGATGCAGGGCCAGTGCAAATGACTGCACGGGTTGGGTACCGCATAGCAGCCAGGGCGCCAGTCACGTAAACTCAGACATGACCACTCCCATAGTGCTTGTCTTGTGCAGTCATGGGCCCTGTGTGACCCTTCTGAGCCACAGGGGTGCCAGCAATGGCAGCATCGTGCCTGAGATCACATACCAGCCTCCGTAGGTGCGGCAGTTAGGGACTGTGGGGTGCCGAGGGCTTTAGCAGCACGCCTGCACCCTCAGGAACATTCTCCCGGAGCAAATAGAGACCGGAGAAAGGTGGAGGGTGTGGAAATCCTGGGGGAAACATCGCAGTGCCTTATGGAAGCGGAGCAGGGCTTGTATGGTTAAGAGATCACGGCCCTGCAGACCAGCCCAGCCTTAGAAGCTTTTATATAAACAGGTTATTCCAGATGAATCCATGTCCCTTTAACGCACTTGTGCCATGGTTACAATGCCTTTTATCGTCTCTCGTGGTTAACTTACAGGCTCTGGATAACTGGTAACTTTGAGGTTATCAGTTCAGCTCAGGAAGTGAGATCTGAGTTTTAGTCTAAGATCACCTTGATTAGGAAAGAAGCCTTGAAAACAGAAGAGCCGATAGCACATTTCCATACTCTTTGTCAAGCGAGGCCGAATAGAACGCCAGTTAGAGTAAGTTTGTGCACGCGGGCGAAGGAGGAGACAGGGCAGAGGTGAGGTCATTAACCACTACCCACCCCGGCCGCCCTTGACCCTTGGTAAGGCCACATAAGCCATAGAGACGTAACTGCTCTGGGGGCGTCCCTGGGGCCGTCCGCCCCTCTGCCTTCACTCTCCGTGGCTCTTCGGTGCAGGGGAGGTCCAGGCCTTCTACGAGGACCTGAGTGGCCGGCAGTACGTGAATGAAGTCTTCAACTTCAGTGTGGACAAGCTCTATGACCTGCTGTTCACCGACTCGCCCTTCCAGCGGGACTTCATGGAGCAACGGCGATTCTCCGGTCAGTCCTTCCGGGGCCGGTGCCTCCCGTCCCTTCCCTCTTGGCCACACTTCTTTCTTTTCTCCCCAAGCTCCTTCCTGTTCCAGGCCACCCAATTGCCCGGGGCACCCCCTTTCCGGCTCCCCCAGGGCCCTGCTGGTTGCTCTCCCCCCGCCCCAGCACTCAGTGCCAGGCCCCGGAGGCTCACCAGCGGGCAAGACCTCCCGGAGTCCACCATCTAACAAAGAGTAGCCGCGACCCTTTCCCAGTAGGCACCCATGGTGTGCCAGGCACATGACGTTATCTCGTGTGACCCTCGGATCTGCCACGTGTGCGAGCACTGCGATCCCCGGGGTACCGAGGAGGAAACCAGAATTCAGACAGTTCTTGCTTGCCCGGGGCCACGCAGCCAAGTAGAGCCCGAGCCAGGATTCAAACCTAGGACTCTCTGCGTTCCTGCTTGTGTACCTGCGCGCTCCTGTCTCCTCCCCTTGCCCCTGTTCTGCTCCCCAGCAGGCGTGTGGCTCTGGCCCAGCAGAGCTACTAGGCATCTGAGTCTGTGAAAGAGCATCTAGAGCGTAGCCCTCTGCCAGGAGGAGAGGGCATGCTGCGGGCACGGGGAGGACACGCCTTAGAGGAGAGGGCTTGTTCCCAAGGATCCCAGGCCCTCGTCACAGTGGCTCCAGTGTTGCCGGCACCCCCGCAGGTGGCCCCGAGACTGCCTGTCCCAGCCCCAGGAACAATCAGCATTCTGGAGCCCTGTGCAGAATTTCGGCAATGCTACAATGAGCCTCTTTCTGCTTCGACTCCCCCTCCTCCCCTCCTCCTCTCCGGGCCCTCAGGCTCCCACTGGCTTCCTTTTGGGGGTCAGTCGGCAGTCAGTACAGTCAAGAGTTCAGTTGGAGGGGAAATTCGGATATGGTGAGGGCATGCCTCTTTCCCTCCCTCATCCCAGGGCTCTTCTCCACCCTCAGATATCATCTTCCATCCATGGAAGAAGGAAGAGAATGGCAACCAGAGCCGAGTGATTCTCTATACCATCACCCTCACCAACCCTCTGGCTCCTAAAACTGCCACTGTCAGGGAGACACAGGTGAGTTGAGGGCGGGGGCACCGAAGAGCGGCAGGAAGAAGGATCAGGGCTAGTACGCCAGGAAGAAGTTCCCGGGTTGCAAGCGTCGTCTAGCCCTGAGGTGGGAACACCTAACGTCCTCCCATTCCCAGTGTTTCTGGGTCCTCCGCCCAGAAGTGTGCGGTGGGCAGGGGAGATGCTTCCCTTCCTTGCTTCTCTTTAGCGATGTCCGGTGGACCCTTCTCCCCACAGACCATGTACAAGGCGAGCCAGGAGAGTGAATGTTACGTGATAGACGCCGAGGTCCTCACGCACGACGTGCCCTACCACGACTACTTCTACACCATCAATCGCTACACCCTCACCCGCGTGGCTCGGAACAAGAGTCGACTCAGGTGTGGCGTCTGGAGGGCCTGAGCGGGTTCACAGGAAGTCCCTGGTGTGCACGGATGTCCTCGCTCATGCAGTGGCAATAAAACGGGTGTTTGGTGAAAGGCTACAGGGAGCCCTCTTGGGAATCGGGACGTTCTGCACACCCACGTCTCAAAGGGGCCTGCACCTTTCTCTTCCTCCTCTTTAAAAAACAGTTTTTGGGAGGGTGTCTGTGCTGCTGTCTGCGTTTATCTAAACCTCCCTCCTTCCTTCCTTTATTACCCCCCCGCCGCCCCCTCGTACCTCCTGTCCCCTCCATCCTTCGCCCCCGCACAGTGTCTAGGCTTCTCCCTTCCAGCTTCTTTGGAGAGTTTCCTGACTAGACGTTCTTTCTATTCAGTTCACACAGAGGCAGCTTGTTGACCTCAGATAAACCTCTGTAGAAAGGCGCCCGCCTGTAACCCCCTGAACACTTCTCGGGGGACAGGGTGAGGTGGCTCGCAAGCGTAGGCATGCTGACGTCAGGCCAGGGCGTCCCTGAGGACGGTTGGGGGGAGAGGAGGGCAGGCAGCCGTAAAAATAGGAGCATAGGGGTGCCCAGGTGGCTCAGTCAGTTAAGCGTCCAACTCTTGATTTCAGCTCAGGTCATGATTTCACAGTTTGTGGGATCAAGCCCTGCCGTGTCGGGCTCTGTGCTGACAGCCTGGAGCCTGCTTGAGATTCTCTCTCTCCCTCTCTCTCTCTGCCCCTCCCGTGTATGTGCGTACGTGCTCTCTCTCTCTCTCTCAAGATAAATAAACATTAAAAAGACAGGAGCCCTGTTTCAGAGCCGCTGTGTAGGAGTGGAAGGGGATAGTATGCAAGCAGAGAGACCGGTGACTAGGAGGGAGAATATTTGGAAAAAAGCAAGAGCTGGCAAGGTCAAGGTGGGGAGGCAAGAGCCAGGGCTGGTAGCAGATCATGCTCTGAAAGGTGGGAATGATGGAACCCTAGAGCCTGATATGAACTTGAAAGTGTCTGCAGAAAGCAAAAAGGACCCCCATGGCTGGCTGGCACCATCTGGAGGAGACAGCGTGGTGTCACAATAGAGCTATGGGCTTGGAGTCGAGAGCCCTGTTGTTAGCCTTCGGTCCGCCAGACTAGTCTAGAACTCCCGTTGTCTCACCTGCAAAGTGAGGATAGAGCCACCAGTTCCACTGATCTCCAAAGGCGGCCAGGGAGACCACATGGCGTGGTGGGTGTGGTGTGAAGGGACTTTTCACCTCGTAAAGTGCGGCACAAATGCGAAGCCGCTTTGGACTTAAACCTGAAATCGCTTCTCGGCCTTTTGGCTAAGATCAAGTGTGGACTTAAACCTGAATTTCTTTTTGCATGGCAGGGGAGGGTCTGCCCAGGAAATGGCTGATCGCGTTTCTGGCTTTTCCCTCAGGGTCTCCACAGAGCTGCGCTATCGAAAACAGCCCTGGGGGTTAGTGAAGACCTTCATCGAGAAGAACTTCTGGAGTGGGCTGGAGGACTACTTCCGCCACCTGGGTGAGCATGCGCTGTAGCCATCGGTGCTGCTTGAACTGCATCCGGCCGCCACCATCCAGGGGACCAGGAGACGTGGAGAGTGGAGGGAGGGCAGACCGAGATGGGGAAGGAGTATCATGGGGTCCCTAAGTCCGCCCCAGAAATGGATACAGAATTGGGCATGTATGGGAACGTGTGCATTTTCCAAGAGATTCTGTCTGTAACTTTTACGGGATCTGTGACTTTCCCATCTGATTACACCGGTGGTAATTCAGTTATGGAGAGGAAATAAAAGCCTGTGAATGCTTCCATTAGGAAATGGGGTATGCCCCAAGTTGTGCACATGAGGGTGCAGATCCTGGGGACCTAGGTCTACAAAATGTTGAGCAACCCTGAAGAGGGGTTGGGGTGGGGCTGAATCCCAGCTTCCTGAGACCCGTGGCCATCCCCGAGGGACCCCCGCCCTCGCATTCAGTGTCCCAGAGTACAGTATGGGAAGATGGCTCTCTCAGCTAGGAGCAGACAGCTGTTTCTGGAGGCCAGTGTGTCGAGCTGGAGGTATAGGCAGATGGCCTTTCGTCTGTGACAGAGAGCGAGCTGACCAAAACGGAGAGCACCTACCTGGCTGAGATGCACAGACAGTCTCCCAAAGAGAAGGCCAGCAAGCCCCCAACAGTACGGAGGAGGAAGCGCCCCCATGCTCACCTGCGGGTGCCTCACCTGGAAGAGGTGATGAGCCCCGTCACCACACCCACTGATGAAGATGTGGGCCACAGGATCAAACACGTGGCAGGTGCGTGCCAGGTGGGAGTGGGGGCGTGGCTCAGGGCTTTGACCCAGAGCCGTGTGCCCAGGCCGAGGCGTACGCGTGCACACGCTCCTTTTGCATCCTCGGGTATAGATTGTGTATGATTTGCACACGACTCCTTAAATTTCAGCCTCCGGATCCTCTACCTATTTCCCTTTGCCCTTTAATGTCCTCAGTCCCTGCTGAACCCACGTGTGGGGTCTGCTGAATAGACGTGACCTGAACTCCGTGTCCCTGTGGATAGACTCAAATGTGCAGCTTCCAAACTTGGGGCAAATGCACCAGGGACAAGCCCCAGTGCAGACGCCAGAGATGACCTCATAACCTGAATGTCAGAGAGCCCAAGGCAGCCCCCCTCCCCTGGCCCCCACAGGCCCACTAAGGACCTGCCCTACCGGACGGCGGACTCCCTTGACCTGTCTCCCCCTTGCATCCAGCGTGCACAACCTCATGTCTTCTCAGCCATGGCGACATGCAGCCATAAGAAGCCTTAGGACGGCTAATCTGGCAGTTTTTAGGCTATGCTTCGCACAGCCGTGGGCGTTCCTCAGGATGGGGACAGGAGAGGAGGAAAGAGCCAGCCTTCCACGTCCCTCCCCTCAGTCTCAACCGGAGCACCCCGCCTTAGGTGTTTTATACGTAGGATTTCTGACCAGCACGGCGTTTGAATAAACTGAGTCTCAGGCACTGAGACTTGCTCAGCATCTCATAGCGGGTTATAAATAAAGCGAGGGGGGAGAGCGGTCTCTAGTCCTCGCCGCGGGCTGTTGCCTGAGCCGTGGCTAAGCTGTGGGCACTTTGTCCCGCCCCTGCGTGTCCCAGTTACATAAGGCTGTTGAGTTTCCCATGCGTTTGGTGACTTTAATGTCCGCGTTGCTGGGCCCACCCCAGACCTTGCCCTCGAGGAGTTTCCCTTGTACTTTTGTGGAGGCCGGGTGTATCTATCCTGTCATCATGACGGCGCCACGGACGTTGTCCTTCATCCCCTGAGGCTCTGTGCGTGACCGCCGTCAGAGCAGCCAGCGGACTTGAGCGCCACAATGGTGACGGCGTCTTTACTCTCCCCCACAGGTTCCACGCAGACACGGCATGTCCCCGAGGACACCCCTAACGGCTTCCACCTGCAGAGTGTGTCCAAGCTGCTGCTGGTTATCAGCTGTGTGTAAGGGATTCCAGGCTCTTCCCCAACCTGCCCTCCCTGCCTGCTGGCCCCTCAGGCGTATGAGCACCCCCACACCACAGCCCTGCTTCTTCTTTGTCCTCTAGGCTTCTTCCTTCAGATCAGTCGCTCTGTCCGTCATTCCTTGCCTCTTTGCTTCTTTTTCTCTGTTTTATTTAGCATTTGCTGTAAGCTAGGCCTTCGGGATTGAGCAGGGGATTCTCTGCATCCATGCCCTTAGGAACTCAGTTTCAAGGGGATAGGACAGGCAGCAAATTCAGAATTACCGCACCGTTGGGAAAATACTAACGTAGAGATGCTACACAGCGTCTTCGGAGCCCATTCGTTCATTTGGGAGGGATGTTCTGTGGCTCTGCTGTGTGCCAGGTGCAAGGACCATGCACTCCTGGGCCCCCACTTTGGCGGGAGAGCCAGACAAAATCAATGACTACAGTCCAGAAAGGCGTATGCTTATGTTCATGTAAATAATTTATAATAGTGCCATAATGTTATGAAACGGTAGGCTCAGTGCCATTCACAGAAGGATGCTGGGCAGGGAGAGAGGGCATGGAAAGAATGCGGGTGTAGGGTGGGGAGAGCACAGCTGTCTGCAATTTAGTAAGCCCGCAGCCCGCCCCAGACGCCCCTGCATCCCTGTGAGCGCGGGGTGCCTGAGACAGCCGAGTGCTGACCGCTCGCGCTCTGTTCACCTGGTGCCTCTACCCCCGCCTTTCCTGGGGGTTAGGCTGTGCCGTGAGCTTACGGGGGCACAGCTGGTGAGGGGTGTGGGGGCTGCCTAGACGCAGGCCCTGCCAGTCATGCACCAGGCACTAGCCTGCCTCCAGATCTTCCTTGTTATGACACCCCCTCCTCCCTCCTTCAACCCCCCACTAAAGTGTTTTCAGAGAGGCAGAAGCAGGGGCACAGCCCAGCCATGAGGGAACACTGAAGGAGGCCCTGGAGTGACATGGTTTGTTTTGCCCTTTTTTTTTTTTTTTTTCCAAAATGTTTATTTATTTATTTTAGAGAGAGAGAGAGAGAGAACAAGCAGGGGAGGGGCAGAGAGAGCAGGAGAGAGAATCCCAAGCAGCCACCGCACTGTCAGCGCAGAGCCCGACGTGGGGATCAGTCCCACAACCGTGAGATCATGACCTGAGCTAAAATCGAGAGTCAGACGCTAACCGACTGAGCCACCCAGACACCCCACTTTTGCATTTTTTAAAAAAGTCACTGTGACAGCCATGCGCGGAAGCCTAGAGAAGGAAGGGCTGGAGGCGGGCAGGCCAGTCAGAGTAAGTGGCAGTGACGTAGGTGAGCGTGACTGTCCGGCAGGCGAGCGATTGGGGCTGACAGGTCCTGCAGGGGGAAGACCCGTTAGCCACGTGGTTGGGTAGCCGAAGAAGAGGAATGACCGCAGCGAGCACCCGTAGATGGTTGTGTCATTAACAGAACAGGCACAGGGTTGTCAGAGAAGCTGCTCTGTGTGTCTTGAGTATCCGCGTGTGTCTTGAGCTGCCGAAGGTTATATCCAGGCGGAGGTGACAGGTACTTGCTGAAGCGGACCTGGAGCGAGGCAGAGAAGCATGGGTCACGGATGCTGGTTTAGTCAGCAGTGGCATGAAAACCGTGGGTGTGGATGAGACCATCCTCCGAGGACAGCGGGGTGGGTGGGGGCGAGAAAGAGCAGGGCTGCAGACAAGGCCCCTGTGAGGAATGTGAGGCAGGCTCTCTGCTAACCTTAACTGAGTATGTAACAAAAGTAGATGGAAAATTATTCTGTGAGTGGCCTAAGAAGCCAAGTTATTTTCACAAAATCAAATGCAGGGATGTGTCCGGATGGCTCAGATCAGTTACGCAGCCGTCCGTTGGTTTCGGCTCAGGACATGGTCTCATGGTTTATGAGTTCGAGCCCCATGTCAGGCTCTGCGCTGACAATGCGGAACCTGCTTGGGATTCTCTCTCCATCTGTCTCTGTCCCTCCCTGCTTGTTCGTGTTCTCTCTCTCTCTCTCTCTCTCTCTCTCTCTCAAAATAAATAAATAAATCCTAGAAAAAGTCAAATGCAAAGACAGCCGTAAGACCAGTAAAATTCACATTTAGCAGCATCCATTTGACGTGATTCGTACTGTTCTGTAAAGTCTCTCCTGGTTGGGTTTGGGAGATAGAAAACTTTAACCTCAGGTAAGTTCCCTGAGCTTTTTCTGCATGTTGACTTATTTAAGTAGGCCTGCTCTTAATTAAGTACTTATTTAAGTAGGCCTGCTCTCCTCAGTCAGTGGTATAGCATGGCATTAACTAACTTTGGGGCTTTATTAGTTTGGGATAATCAGACCTCACCTTTCAACACCAGGGGGCTCAGGCGAGGGATCTGCTGACAATGTGCATGTGGAATGGACCTGTGTCGCACAGACCACCCTGCGTCTGGCAGGACCGCACCGCCGTTCGCCTGCCTCGAGGCAGCTCGGCTCTCCCTCCTCTTTTCTCCGTTTAGACTACTGCAGGACCCTCCCTCAGCATGCAGGGGTGTCCCTGGACCTTCACTGAGCACAGGCAGGATTATACTAAACACAGACCCAAATGCAGGAGCTGAGATTGTGTGCGGCACATGCCGAAGAGGTGGGCATTCCGATCTCCTCTGGCGTGTGCTGATACAATTAAAGACGGTATCGGTTGAGAGTCAACGCAATATTTAGAGATTCTTCTGGAGAACTCACAGAGCCCCGAGAACACGGCCCGGTAGGGTCAGGCATTTACAGCTGCCAGCTCCAGGAATACTACCTTCCATGCAGAGAACAGCACAGTATCTCTCTCTCTCTCTCTCTCTCTCTCTCTCTCTCTCTCTCTCTCTCTCACACACACTCTCACACACACACGCGCGCACACACACACACACACACACTTCGAAAGGTCAAAGGCATAGTGTCGGATTTTCTTTGTTGGTCCTTTTCCATCTTTCACTCTGTCTTCCCGGGATGCCATCTTCCCTTTTCCTGTGTGTATCCTGATCTGGGCCTGTACCTCCTCTAACAATAAAACCGCCCTTCATCGAGGGCTTCCTGGGTGCAGGGTGCTTTATGTCCACTTTGACCCATGCATGTCACAGCTCTAGCACGGTAGGCACCGTCCCTGTTGAGGAAGGGGGTTCGGAGAAGCTAGGGAACTTCATCAGAAGTTAAGAACCTTGAAGCGGCAGGCCGGGATCGTTCCCAGTTCCGTGTGTCTCTCGGTCCCCTTGCTACCCAGGTCTTCATCTCTCTATTCCGTGACTTGTGTCCTAAGATGATCTTAATGGCAGCCAATGACACCGAGGGAAGAAGAGAATGTCCCCATTCTCTCGGTGGCTCTCTGTCCCCCCGGATCCTCCTTACCACCTCCCTGTCTCTGACCAGTTCCGGCCCAGACCGGGGAGCCTCGTGACCCCAGCTGGGACTGGGCAGGTGCCAGGAGGAGACTGCCCTTTTTAAGGCATCCCGCTAACACCTGTGACGTGGATCAGGCAGATGCTCCACAGTTTGACCTTCTGTTGTGCCTCAAGTTGGGTGGGTGGGAGGACTTGCCTCGATTTGTCTCCGAAGATCTGTTTGCAGCTGCTCTCTCTGGCTCCTTGCTTGCTGGGCCTCCTCATCCATGGATGCTTGCTTCCGGTGTTTCCTTCCCCCAGCCTCTCAGTTGCTCTCTGGCTTGGTTACAGTGCAGCTCTCCCCGCCCCACCCCCGCACCGGTCTGTTCTAACCTCTGCCTCCTCCCCGTTTTTCCTCCTTGCTCCCATTAGGATCTGTTTCAGGTACTGGCTCTCTGATCACTTCCTTTACCCTTCATCTCTTTTCCTCTCCATCTTACCTCTTCCCCCAGGCACCCAGACTCTGGGTGGCTCTTGCGTGTCTCTCTTTCCCGATGCCTTCACCCACATACCTCCCCATGGCTCTCCTGCTGTGTCCCGGCCCCTCCAGATGAGAGTCTCTCTCTCTCTCTCTCTCTCTCTCTCTCTCTCTCTCTCTCCACCCCCCTTCCTCTCCCTTGCTGCATCCTTCCACCTCACTCACTGCAATGCTTCAGGTGACCAGTGGTTAAGGACAGCAGCTGCCTCTGGGGTGGGGGACATCCCTGGCTTTTAGAGGGAGCATGCATTCTCGATGACGTCTCATGGCCGTTGCTTCCCCCTCCCCCCTCGTCTCTTCCCTAGTCTGGTGCTGCTGGTCATCCTTAACATGATGCTCTTCTATAAACTCTGGATGTTGGAATACACCACCCAGACCCTCACTGCCTGGCAGGGTCTGAGGCTCCAAGAAAGGTAATCCTCGCCTCTTCCCTTTGCCACCACGTTCACCCCACCCGGTACCGTGCCCCAGCTCCTGCCGCCCAGTCTCCTTGGGACTGCCCTGCTGCCCTTGGCCAGTGGGTAACCCCTGGGGATGCATCCGTTGGCAAGCTATGAAAACTGTCCGCGTAGCTTTAGTCTGCTTCAGATCGGGGGCACAGGGGAACCGGGGGGCGTTGAGTGGAGGACAAAGCAGTCTGATGTGACTCTCTGTCCTCTAGGGGTCTGGGAGCACAGGAGAGTCCACTGAGCATAACTCCAGCTGCCAGGGTACCCCTTCTTCTACCCCACAGGTTACCCCAGTCTCAGACAGAATGGGCCCAGCTCTTGGAGTCCCAACAAAAGTACCACGACACTGAGCTCCAAAAATGGAGGGAGATCATCAAATCCTCAGTGATGCTTCTTGACCAGGTGAGATGTCCCCACCTTCTGTCCTTGCCCCCGTCTTCCGGAGATGGAGCTCCTTCCCTGCGCTCTGGGAAGGATCACCATCCCCATCCCCGCCCGCCGGACCTCACTCTCCCATTTCATTCTTACCCTGGGCCATCCGATGTTCTGATTTTAAAGCCATCCTGGGATGGGCTGTTGGAAACACAGGTGCACTCCCCCAAATAATAACAATGAGGTTTGCAGGAAAGTTGTAGGTTGCACGGAAGGACCAATCTTTTTTCTTTTTTGGCAACTCACAGCCATCTGACAGGCATTCAAAGAGAGAACCTCCATTTCACGACGATTTGTCTTCCCACAGGGCCTAATTTTCTAGTTCCTTTTGATGTATGCCATCCCCCCTTCCCCGCCCTGAGCACCACAGAGCCAACACACAACCCCTAATACGTCATTCTTCCCCTGAGGCTGCGCTGCTAGTCTGGGAAAATGGTTGTTGAACTAAGTCATCTTTCCATAACATCTTCTAGTACAGGTGCCTGTATTCCTTCCAAAAACTAGATGCATCTGTTTCAGAAAATCCTGGGGCAAAACCAATAATAAGTTTAGTTTTATCAAGGGCGGGAGCGTCTGACTTCCCCCAGAAGACGTTAACATCTTACACAAAACTGCCATGTAGTTGCCAAGACAGCAAGAAGCTACCTTTGCTCTAAAGACAGTTAAGAAGATAAGAGACTAAGGCTTTGTCTTGTTCCCATTAAAACTTCTGTTCCTAAGGCGTTCCTTATGTTTGGTGACCAGCCAGACTTGAGGTGGAATCCCGACCTTGCCACCAACTAGACCTTGAGCAAGGGACATAATATTACTGACTTACAGTTTCTTCATTTATAAAATGATTATAATTGTAACTTCATGAAATTGCTGTCGGGATTTGATGGCCCATGGGAGACACTCCTTAATAGTAAATCTTATTTCCCCTTCATGGTGTGGTCTTGGCTCTAAATTAAGTAGAGAGAGGGTTTTTTGTTTTTTTTTTTAATTTTTTTTTTCAACGTTTATTTATTTTGGGGACAGAGAGAGACAGAGCATGAACGGGGGAGGGGCAGAGAGAGAGGGAGACACAGAATCGGAAACAGGCTCCAGGCTCCGAGCCATCAGCCCAGAGCCCGACGCGGGGCTCGAACCCACGGACCGCGAGATGGTGACCTGGCTGAAGTCGGACGCTTAACCGACTGCGCCACCCAGGCGCCCCAAGGAGAGAGAGTTTTAATGCAGCTGTCAGGATCCAGCTGAAGGTGTTTTAGGATATCATGTTTAGCTTTAAAGCCATGGATTTTTTTTTTTTTTTTAAAGGTAAACAGCATAGCAGGCATTTCAAAAGACCTGTCCTATCAAGAAGGGTTGATAGAATTAAAGATATGCCCAGGAGAAGGAAAGACGGGGGTGAGGAAAACAGGATAGGTGTTTTGTTTCGTTCCCTTTAAGAGTAGCTTCTAAAAGAATTAATAACAAACCCCCTCTCCCCAAGGAGCAGAGGGGGTACAGAAGAACCGGAGAGAAGAAAGCTGTAGATTAGGCAGAGATCAGAGGATCTGAAAATCCATGACCGTGTGCCACGAAATGTTAATTGCACTGTGTTGTCATAGAGCGGCTTATTCAGGGACTGTATCGAAATGCGTCGTGGTAGGACAAGCCAGTTGGGTTCTGCCACTGAGCTAACCATATTAGTGTGCCTGTTTCTTAAAGGAGGTTAAGAGGAAGAAATTCAGTCAAGGTTAATTCCGTGATATGAGTCACAACTAGAAGCCTACTCAGCTGCCCATTCTCTGCTTGACATGCGGGGTGTATATGCTGTCCAGACACACATGAAACAAAGCGATTACAGAGGAGTCCACTGCAGAGTCCTAGTGAGTGCTTTCCAGGTGGCCAGGAATAAGAAAGAGGATTATGCGCCAGAGAAAGTTTGGATTTGTTCTGGGTCTTACAATGGGTAAGACTGGAATGGGCAAGAGAGACGAGTCCTAGGCGGGGGGAACAACGTGGCAAAACGTACAAAGGTAGAAATACCGAGTGTTAGGGTCAATGGGGAAACCAAATCCAATGAGTAGAAGACAGCCTAGTGTGGTTCCTTATAGCAATTGAATGCTTTGAGGGAATTTTTTTTTTTTAATTTTTTTAATGTTTATTTTTGAGAGAGGAGGGAGAGAGACAGAGCATGAGGAGTAGAGAGAGAAGGAGACCCAGAATCTGAAGCAGGCTGCAGGCTCCGAGCTGTCAGCACAAGAGCCCGCGGGGCTCGAACTCACGAACTGTGAGATCACGACCTGAGCCAAAGTCGGATGCTTAACCCACTGAGCCACCCAGGCACCTTGAGGGAATTCTTTTTTTAAAATTTATTTTTTGAGAGAGAGCGACAAAGCGAGCAGGGGAGGGGCAGAGAGAGAGAGAGGGAGAGAGAGGATCCCAAGCAGGCTCCACACTGTCAGTACGGAAAGGGCTTGAACCCACAAACCATGAGATCATGACCTGAGCTGAAACCAACTAGTCAGATGCTTAACTGACTGAGCCACCCACATGCCCTAACCCTGAGAGAATTCTTCATTCAGCAACACAAGGACTACAGATCACTGAGACACAGTGAACCTCACCCTCGGGGTTCCCAGTGCTAGGCTGGCTGTCCCCCTTCTGCCTGAGACGATGTCCTACCTTGTCTTAGGAGCCCGGCTCCCTTGACCTTGCTGGCATGATAGGGGACTTGCCCTAGGTGGGCGTGGTGGGTGCTGCTGGACAAAGAAGCGCACTGGGGGTGCAAACCCGTAGCTGGGTGGGGTTCCCTGTCTTCCAGATGAAGGACTCTCTCATCAATCTTCAGAACGGCATCAGGTCCCGCGACTACACATCAGGAAGTGAAGAGAAGAGGAACCGCTATCACTGACCAGGCAGGAGCAGGGGTGGCTGCAAGAGGCCTGTGCAATACGTGTACATAGACCATATAAATATATATATATAAATATATATATATACAGAATATAAATATATATATATTATATACAGATTTTAAAAAGAGATAATGCCTATGTACCAGGGAGAAGGAGCCGGACGGCCTCCTGTGCTGGCCGGGCCGAGGGGCCGAGGAGGGCAGGGACCACCTCTCAGCACCGACCTCCCCTGATCCTCCTCCTCCCCATCCCTTCCCCCACCCCCAACCCTTTCCCTCACTGGCCGTCCTTGGCTCTGAGAAGGGAAATGTTGTTGAGCCAAAGTTATGCCTGTGAAGACCCTGGGGTCTCGAAGTCTCAAGGGGGCATTGCTTAAGGTGCTTCATTCCCCAGTCCTCTTTTGATTTGTCTCCAAAATAAAAGAGA